CAACTTGCTGAAGAACCAGATGGCTCTTAACATTGTTTAGCAATAAAATACTTTTAAATTAAGGTATGTATATTATTTAAGGTATAACGCTATTACACACTTAATAAACTACAGTATAATGTAAACATAACTTTTATATGCACTGGGAAACCATAAAGTTCATATGACACGTTTTATTGCAATAGTCACTTTATTTTGGTGGTAACCGGCAATATCTCCCAGGTATGCCTGTATGTCCCACGTGTGGAATGATGGATCTTCCTGACACTTGAGTGGCCAGTGGGGTAAATTACAGCACAGACTAAAGATCTGCCAGCATTCCTGCTTTCCTCCTACCTTTTAATGTGAGAAACTCTGCCAAATTACTAATGGCTGCTCAGCAAATGACATTTCCTAGTTTCCACTTACGTGAGGTGTGACCTTGTGACAAAGATCTAGCCAACAAGATGAGAGGGGAAGTGACATATGCACGATGTCCACTCTCTCTCTCCCTGTGGGGCAGAGCAGCCAGGGTCCTGAAGGGCCACCTCCCTGCCCAGAGCCACCGCCCACCTTTGAGATGGAGTGAGAAATCAAGTTACTTGTTTGGAACACTGTATGTTGAATCTCTGTTACAGCAATTTTAATCTATGTCTTAAATAATGCTAATATACAACCCAAATATTCAGATGCAAGACTCCCTGTGATGATAATGAAATTCAAATCTAATACCATTAACTGACAATAAGGTTGAGAGGCAGCACGTAAGTCTGCAGGAGGCATTTCTATCCCCAGGAGATTTGCTTGCAAAATTAGTCCGGAAGTCCTGCCTCCTACAGTGGCTAGACCCTCTGGCCCTGTGACGTAGCATTTACAATCACTCCCCAATGGTATTCACTGAAAATATTTTCTGAGCTAAAGGACCACTAACAAATTTTTAAATCTTTCTCCCGCTTAAAAAAAGTACTTTTAACTGTTATTTTTTTTAATATACAAAGGTAAATTATGCTTACTGAGAAAAATGAGCCCACCACACAGATTACCAGTTAACATTTTTCCTTCTGGTCTGTTTCTGCTCAGTATTTTATGAAATCAGGACCATACTATTCATTTTTAATATCCTCCTTTACTTTGATAAATTCTCTTTAATTCTTAGTAATTAAAAACACAAGATACAGGCCGGGCGCGGTGGCTCACGCCTGTAATCCTAGCACTCTGGGAGGCCGAGGCGGGTGGATCGATCAAGGTCAGGAGTTCGAGACCAGCCTGAGCAAGAGCAAGACCCCGTCTCTACTAAAAAATAGAAAGAAATGATCTGGACAGCTAAAAAAAAAACATATATATATATACATATATATATATATAAATTAGCCGGGCATGGTGGCGCATGCCTGTAGTCCCAGCTACTCGGGAGGCCGAGGCAGAAGGATCGCTTGAGCCCAGGAGTTTGAGGTTGCTGGGAGCTAGGCTGATGCCACGGCACTCCAGCCCGGGCAACAAGAGTAAGACTCTGTCACAAAAAAAAAAAAAAAAAAACACAAGATACATATTGTAAAAGTATTTCAAATAATAAAGAAATACAAATATACAGATGATGAAAATCCCTGGTAATTCAACAGAAAACCATTGTTAGCTGTTTAGGTTATACACATCCACCCAGATCTTTGCTTAAATACAATTATGCATGCAGTTATGCACACACATGCTTTTCAAAAATAAAAACTGGGATCACACTGTAACTATTCATCTGCCACACATTCCCCGTATCTCCCGGCATTCTTCAAGCTCACACACACAGATGTGCCTGGCTCCCTGAGTGGCATCCCCATCATAGTCGATGGTACACTCTTAGGGACTTACCAAGTGAGGACCTCCTTTGAACCCCAGAAGGGAGGGAACACTCATGCCTAGACCTCTGGTTTCCTGAGGGAGAATTTTCCCTAAAGTGTTCTGGGCTCCTGCTCAACATTTTCTCCTTCCCAAAAAGGTGGAATGTGTTGGCAGAATGAAATGGTTGGGAGAATGAGGCATTTGAGCCCGCCCTCTCCTAACCCTCTTCAGAACCAGCTGTTTCCAGGGGCACCCATTCCACTTTGGTCCGTGTGCCAGGGTTTTTAAGTGAGGCAGCCCGTGAGGAGAGGCTGCATCATCCAGGGCTGCCTGCGAGTGGGGACCAACATCTCACCGGCATTCGGTCTGAGGAAGTCCAATGTCTCTCCAACTTAGCTTTGGCCAGTAATAAAGTGACCATTTGCTCTCCCCAAACCTTACTCCTCTGCCTTGACTGGCTCTGAACTCGAAAAAGGCAAAGGGACACTGCTGATCAGGCCCTCAAACCTCAGAGTGGTATTATCTCACAGGCTCTCCAAACCTCAGGAGGTAAGCATTATCCTGCTATTTACTCTACTTTTACAGAGGAGGAAATGGAGACAAGACAGAATGCAAATTACCCGAGGGCACTACTCCAGCGAGAGGCAGAGCTGAGGTTCAACTCTAGGTCTGTCTGCACCAGTGCCCATTTACACATCATGGAAGACTGTTTTCCCTTCCTAAGTGTGATGTCACTATTACAGGATATTTTATTTAGAAATCAGCTGGGATTAGTATTAAGAAAGTAAGCTTATATTTTAACCCTTGTCATTTTTCTTAACTAAAAACAAAGAGGGTGGGGATGTTGGTTTCTTGTTTGTTTTGGAAGTCAGTGATAGGTTCTAATTTTTTTTTTTTTTGAGACAGTCTTGCTCTGTTGCCCAGGCTAGAGTACAGTGGTGTGATCATAGCTCACTGAAACCTCAAACTCTTGAGCTCAAGCAATCCTCCTGCCTTAGCCTCCCAAGTAGCTGGGACTACAGGCATGCACCACCACACTTGGCTAATTTGTGTATGTGTAGAGATAGTCTCGCTATGTTGCTCAGACTGGTCCAGGAACTCCTGATCTCAAGCAGTCCTCCTGCCTGGGCCTCCCAAAGTGCTGGGATTACAGGCATGAGCCACCACACCTGGCCTGATTTTAATTTTTAAAATGACTGTTATACTACCTGGAAACAAGCTTGCATCTGCTTATAAGAATATAGCTTAAAACTGTGTGCACTTAAACCAGTCTCAGCAAGAGCGAGACCCCGTCTCTACTAAAAATAGAAAGAAATTAATTGGACAACTAAAAATATATAGAAAAAATTAGCCAGGCATGGTGGCACATGCCTGTAGTCCCAGCTACACGGGAGGCTGAGGCAGAAGGATTGCTTGAGCTCAGGAGTTTGAGGTTGCTGTGAGCTAGGATGCCACGGCACTCTAGCCTGCACAACACAGTGAGACTCTGTCTCAAAAAAAAAAAAAAAAACTGTGTGCACTTGTTAATGATTTTCATAAATTTTTTTAACTTTAAAGAAAGTTTTTAAAAACAAATATATCTTGCTTTGAAGAAGCATTTATCTTTAAATAGCAACCTTCAGTTTCTGCTTAGCTCCTTTTTCTTCTATAAATTTAAGTAAAATTAAATTGATACCATATCATTTAAAGAAACTGAAAAGAACAAAAGTAAGGAAATACATGCCAGACTGTGGTTCCACAACATACTGTGCTACATGGACCCCTCTCCTGTTATAACATGTAGGATTTGCTGGATAGAACATCACTTGAAATTGTCTAAATACACAGCTGATGTTACGTATCAGCAGCAGCGACACTGGCTTTCCCACCGGCACTGGTAAAGGGATATTCTGGCCTTAGACTCTCATCATCTGTCACTCATGGCCTAAAGAAAGGAACAGGAAGGTTCGCCGAGCTTTACAGGAATAACAAGCAGAGCAAGAGAGCATCTGAGTGAGATGTTGACTACAGGAGCCCACTGCAGTCACCAATGGGTCAAGTGCCTGCTGCATGCCATAGGCTAGGCAAGGCAGGATTCCGGTCTTCATAATGCCTCTCAGGACTACTCATGAGGTTCAGGGAGGTGACAAGCTGAGGGTCAAACAGAGAAGTGTAGTCAGCTGCTAAATGTCCTCCCAAGCCTTTTGGCTTCTGCTCCTAGCATCCTGCTCTCAGGGCTCTGCCCAAGGGCACCAACAAGCCCAGTGTCCTCTCACCTGTCATCTTCCATGGCCCTGAGGCAGTGCTGAAAAGCTCAGCAGCTCCCTGAGCTGCTTCAAACAAACTGTCTGAGTTTAAAATCTGCATCCAGCTGATACTCCTAGGAAACCTCTGGCATACTAGTCAGGCCCTGAGGATCCCTTGACCATGATGCAGCCTAGTGTACAAGGGTAAGAAGGCCCTGATATCAGCACCGAGCTGGCCACTGGAATTTATAAAGACTTGTAGCAGAAAAGGAATTTTCAGGAAAAAGTCAGGACACTGTAGCCAAACCACCCCTCATCTGGGAATTCTCCTTCAGGCCCAACCAAGTCTTCAAGTAAATTCTGTTCATCACACTTCCTTCTTCACCTCTAACCCCAATAGCACAAGAGATACCAGCGCTTCACCTCCTCCAGCACGGAGAGGTGTCAAGGCCCCCAGAGAGCAAGCAGGGTTGAAGCAAAACAGCAGTAACGCCTGCACCTATACCTATCGCCCCCTAAAAATACATGGGGCAGCCCCTCTGAGAGGCTTAGTAGTCTTAAAAATTGTGACAAAGAAACTTAAACTAGAGGCTCTAAAGCTTGTAACCTCTGGGAACCAGGAAAAGGGCTGGAGGCAATGGGGAAAGAAACCAAGAGAATGGAACCAGGTGTGTACCCACACAAAGCTCCTGGGAGAAGACCACAGGCTCGGGCCCTAGATGGGCTCGTTGGAGAGAGCCGCTGCGGGCCATGGACCGGAGTTGCAGCCTCACGGAGGCGGCCGTGGCTGCTGCAGGGAGAGGGGCTCACCGAGGCCCAGGCTCCGAGACATCGCGCGGGGTGGGCCGCGCTCAGAACCGAGCCGCTGTCCGCGGATACCCGGCCGGCCCTCTCGGCGGACTCTGCCCGGCCCTGAGGCCAGGCCCCTGAGCCCGCCCCCGCCCGCGGCGGGAACGCGCCACTCACCAGGCGCCCGGCGGCAGGAGGACCGCGCGAGTCCGACATCGGAGCCGAACGCTGGACCCGCAGCCGCCGGCTCCCCAGGCCAGCCGACAAAGCCCGCACTGCCGCCCGCACGCCGCAGCCGGAAGTCGCCTGAGGCCCCGCCCGAGGAACTTCCGGCGGCGCTCTAGGAGCGCTGAGCGGGGTGGGGGGTGGGCGCTCCCCTCTCGGTGATGTGGGCTTCCGGCCGGACGGGACTCAGTGTGCCTGGAGGGCCCCGGGGCGTCCAGTGGGTGTACCTCAGCTCCGCGGAATTACGGGAAGCAGGGCTCGGACAGTTGGTGGGGTTGGAAATCAGCGGTGAGGCCCGCCCGCAGCCCGAGACCAGCCTCCCAGATATTATGTCAGTTGTCTGCAGCCCTGAAAGAGCGTGGGAAAGTGGCATGCTCTTTTACGTAGTTTTCCCCTAAAATGTAAACAGATGGAAAGATTTTATTTCCAGTGAGCTGTAAATACAGATATTCAAAAACAAAACCATTTCATTGCTTCTGAGAAATGCAGAAGTCCAAAAGAATTTTACAAAAGATTAATAAAACAAAAAGTTGGTTCTTTGAAAAGATAAACAAAATTAATAGTTCTCTCGCTAAATTAACCAGAGACAGAAAAGAGAGGACCCTAATAAGCTCAATCAGAAATGAAAAAGGAAATATTACAACTGATAGCACAGAAATACAAAATATCATCTCTGAATACTGTAAAAATCTCTGAACATGAACTTGAAAACATTGGGGAAATGGACAAATT